ACAAGTAGATGATCAAGAGAGGGTATGTTTAATTACCTTGTTTATTAGGGAAAAAACAGAGTTAACTACCAAAACAATCACTATTGCTTTGATTGCTTTAGGGTTTGGGCTTTATCTGGTGCCATTCCTATTTCCAGTTTTCTAATGTTTGTAAGGACAAATAAATTTGCAACCATATCTTCATTTCATTTCTGTGCTAATACTGCAATAAACTCCTCGTTCATTGTAGCTGGTTTTAGATCCTCAGCATTGTCTTCTTCTTCTTCATCGGTTATTGCAACAGACCATATTTATCACTTTTAGATATTTTCACATTTATTGGATAAACAAGCATTTCAATAATAAAGGAAATCAATTGAATATAAATGGCTTTGGTTAGGGATGGAATGGATTGACTATTATTCATGCAATATCCTTATCTAATGGGCAGTCTAATAACAGCTGAAGTGACTGATGAACTTAATGACGTTTTGCTTTTCCACAAAAACACAAAGCAAAAAATCAGTTCTCGTGTGTTGCCGTTAATCCCTCACCTAATTCTGAATTTGTCAAATATTTGGGTCAATTCTATGTGTTATACTTACAATCATGCTCACATCATTTCAATATTTAGAAAAAATAATTCGCAGCTGAGATAAGTTGAAAGCATGGTTTAATTTGCGCCATTTCTACATTATTTAGTCATCAAACAAGACTCAGTTTGGAAAGTTTGGAAGGAGTATAAATACAAATATGCAAAATGCAAAACTTTGTATTTTATAGGGAAAATTCCCGATAGGTACCCTGTATTTTAGGTCGAGTGTCAATTTAGTACCCAAAATTTAAAACATGATAATCTAGTATTCGAACTATCATTTTGCAACGATTTAGTATCCGGCGTTAATTCATCGTTAGCTAGAAGACAAAAAGACCTAATTACCCATCAGTTATTTCGAGCAATGCATGAATTATAGACCGAAATTACGAAAAAGACCCATCAACAATTCACTTGACAAGATTTCGGTTATTTTGCGCACAAGTTCGGTTATTTTGATAGAACTGATGAATTCCTGGCGTTCGACAATGATAAGTTTTCTTTGTCCCATTGAAAGTTATAAAAATCATCATCAATTTCAAGTAAGAATAGGAGATCATCGTTCTGTTCTATTCCTGAAATTAGTAAAGAAGAAGAAGAAGGTCCAGGCGTAGGCATGCTCAGACCCTTTTTCCTCATTTGCAACCGATGATGATCCTGATCAGCAACCTGGGTGATTGAGTCACCGCATGCACCATTTTGAAGCATCTCAACAAGAGATGCTTTAATCGACGTCCTCTCCCAAATAGCCCTTCAACTGCACATAGTCCACTCTTCAAACTGGTTATGTTGGCCTTGTGCATAGACATTTAGAGGTTCTACGACAAAGATAGGAGTTTCTTGATTCTCCACTGTCACAGTTGGATATTCTTGAAACTCCTAGACCGATTGGCTTCTACGTGTTTCCAAAGACTAATCACGATCAAAGACCATATTGGCGGCTTTCTTTTTCTGATCATATTACTTACCCTAATTATTATTTTTGTGATGGGTGATTCCACAGAGCACCCAATGTTCGAACTGTGACGGTTGGGCATTATTGACAAGGTTGTATTCATGCATGATCCAACTCATCTTGGTTGCATCTTTGCTACTTTTTTTCTCACCATTGAACTAATAGAATACAAGTGTCTTTATCCGCTCCACCAACATTCTATTCTCATAGATTTCCTCATCCGCCATGGTTGCCTTCTAAAACCCTCTTCCTTCTCGTAGATTCTTGACCACTCGATTTGGCTATGATCCATTCTCCGACTTCTTTGACATGTACGTGAAGTAGTAGTGTTCTTTGATCTCCTCGCCACCACCATCCGTGCATGGAAGAAACTAGGGTTCAACATCGTACACATCCACTTCCATCACAACATCTGAACTAAGTCTCTTTCCGATGACCTTGTTTCGTAAGTAATGACAAGCGAGTTCTGACTTGGTCGGAAAGAACTTGTATCCCGCTATGGGATTATACCATTGCTAGTAGAACCCATTAATTTTTCCTATAACAAGGAAAGAAAGTAGATGAGAAATTCTTGAGTCGATGCTCAAAAGCTTTGATACAGCAATCAGTCGGAAAGAACGTGTCTTTTGAATTTGAAGAGTTTTGCATCCAAGTTGGACATGAAAACCAACCCCCAAGCATACACACTAGTTAAGCAATCTAATCGTAAGGAGTTGGGACACTCACTCCAAGTTTAGACAAATGCCAAGCGATCTTCTCGAGCTGCACATTCGGAATATCTCCCGCACTTTGGGAAATGTTCCAAAAACACAATGAGATATGAATGTGAGGAGCGCTCTGTGAGGAGATCCCAATTCCTAAAACCACTCCTTTCTTACTTAAAGAGGATAAGATACAACATTTGTTGTTATGTCATTAATTCTGGTTCCGGTTAATAATTGGGTCGGGACTGAGTTTTGTTATTTCCAACCAATTCCTACTCAAGAGTCAAGCTCGTAAGCAAATAACTAATTCGAGCTTCCCTTAGAGTTCGAATTCAATTACGATTTGGTTCTAGCGACAGCATTCACTTAACAAGATTTCAGTTATTTTGCGCACATTTTCCGACGAAACATTTTGCGCACAATTCTAATCTGAAACACCTTTCGATTTAGATTCCACCAAAACATTTTCAGATCATAATTGTGTGCGGTTCTGAAGCTAAACCTTGGTCCCACCAACTCTGATGCCTCTGAAAAGATGGCTATAGATGAAGTCTATGTACGGTTCTAGAGTGGAGCCTATATGAAAACTCCATCAGAACTATGCATGGTTCTGGAGTGGAGCCCGTACGAGAACTCCATCAGAACTGTGCGTGGTTCTGGAGTAGAGCTCGTATGAAAACTCCATCAGAACTGTGCGCGGTTATAGAAAACTCTATCAAAACTGTGTGTGGTTATAGAGATGTTGGGGGAGTTGGGGCAGACATATGTTAAGGGGTGAAGCTTTCCACCTTTCTTCGTAGTTCCTCTTCTCTGTCGTTTCTTCAACCGTGTTTGAAGAGAAAGGGATGGAATGGGCGTGCATGGAATGAAAAGGAAGGTCGAAGTTGAGTGAAATCTCCTCTCCTCTCTCGTTCGTTCAACCCAGATTTAAGTCTAAAGGGGGAGTTGAATGAAGTCTCCTTTCCTCTCTAGTTTGTTCAACTTAGATTGAAGAGAAAAGGGGATTAGGGAAATAGGAAGAGAAAAGGGTAAAATGGTCCATATTTTTTTTATAAAGGTTAGTTTTGGTATTTTGAAAATAGTTAACCCACGCATTATATCACGTGATTCTTCTAACTAACGGTGAGTTGACACCGAATACTAAATCGTCGCAAAATGAAAGCTCAAGTACTAGATTGTCATGTTTTAAAGCTCGGGTACTAAATTGGCACTCAACCTAAAGTATAGGATACCTATTGGGAATTTTCCCTATTTTATATCAAGGTTATCAAAACTGGATCGGACATGGAACTGTTTTGACCATCGGCTTCTGGGTCAAACAGTTTGATCGTCTAGTTAAAATGGATAGCTCGTTTTGATTTAAAAAATAATTAAAATAAAAAATGGTCAAAACCATTATCCAGGTTGACGTGTCAACAATTCAACCACCCATGTCAGTAGATTTGGATCCTAATCAAATTAACGGTTTTTTATCCAAAAATGGTTTTAGGGTGAAATGGAACTAGTTGCCTAATTGTCTTAGGTCAACCAGATACATATAAAACATATATCTGTACCATACATATTTGTATTTGTACTCTTTTCCGATCTTAGGCTCAGTTTGGAAGGAGTACAAATATAAATTTGTAGTGCAAAACTATGTATTTTATATTATTTTATATGGATTAGGCTCAGTTGGAAGGAGTACAAATGCAAATATATAGAGTGCAAAATCTTGTATTTTATATTATTTTATATGTATTGCACTGTACATATTTATATTTGTACTCCTTCCAAATTAAGCCTAAAATTCAGAAGCGGGAGAAGGAAGATAAGAAACTCTGGATAATCTAAAATTTGACCACTAAGAGCCCATCTGTATGCATAAAGCCTCTTCCTGCTGGCATACCAAAAAATGTGGAGTTCAGAGTCCTATTAGATATTTCGGATTCATAGTGCAAGCCACTTTTGGGGGGACCACAAAGCCAAATTGACAAGAATCACAGGATTGAGATAATGTGGATGTATTGTGGGTTGGTTAGTAATCCGTCTGGACTATTAATTACTTGAAAACCAAAATTGGAGCCCAGCAGTCGGGACAATTTTGTATCATCCATGTCTTAGAAAATGAACATGACCTCGAAATGTGGGGGTCCATGTAAAGTGTTTCGCTCTCTTAATTTGTATCAGCCTAAACCTTATGTGTTTGGTTAAATGCACGAGAGTGTAAATGTAAAAAATGTAAATTTTTGTTTAATTTTATTTTGGGTTTTATTTTATTCTGTTTTATGTCTTAATTTACTTCGTACTATAATCATTTATAATGTAAAAAATAGGTCAGAATTTACACTCCAATCATTTGCACTGTCATGGTTTTGCATCAGTGCAAATTTATTTGCATTGCAACTAAATACAGAAACAGAAATAACCATTGGTTTTCGAACTGTTATTAGACAACCAGACTGTTTGGCCCAAAAATAATCTAAGCAACGAGTTCCATTTCTTCCCTGAACTGAATTCATTTGCCAAAAATGTTGATTTGGTCAATGAACTGTTGATCCAAGTGGTCAAACCGTCAACCTATTCAACCTGGACAATGGTTTTAGGCCATTTTATTTTATAGTTTTTTAAATTGCAATGGACCATCCATTTTGACCGGGAGCGATTACAGTTTTTTTTTTTTTATTTTATACAGTGAAGCACATTGAGCTCTAAATTACACCCCCAATATGTATTATGATTTTGTTTTCCAAAAGAAAATCGACTACTACAATTACAGCCCCAATTGCATTTCAATGTACTAGTACCAAAAGGGTATTTCCCTTAATTACTGTTGGAATAATTGTTCAACATTATTGCATACTACATGTAATAAAGATAAAACAACAGAACAAATTCAAAAGAGAAAATTCCAGCAATATCAATGTTGATGAATGAAGATATGAACAATCTAAAGGCACAATGACAAATGTTGTCATTCCGTTTGCACATATTCCGCATAAAACCGAGGATAGTTCTCTGGGTTGGCGACGTAGGCATAGCCTCCATGGCTGGAGATGTCGAGTCCGGCAGTTTCCTCATCCACCGATATTCTTAGAACCCTGAGCTTTTTAAGAGCATAAAACAGAGGACCCATGGTAATACTGACCCAAGCAACAATCACCAAAACTTCCATCACTTGGGCCCCAAACAGCCCCCAACCCCCTCCCAACAGAATCCCATAGGGACGGGTAATGCCACTCTCCCCTGAGTCATAAGCTTGAATCACAAATTCTCGCTTAGCAAACAGCCCTGTGAATATAAGGCCCCATGCCCCACATCCACCGTGCAGCTGTGCCGCCTCTAATGGGTCATCGAAATTCAGTTTCAGTGCGACCATATTGAGCACAATCAAGACCCAAGCAGCGACGAACCCACACACAATTGCAGCCCATGGCTCAACCACTGAGCAGCCCGAGGTGATGGCTACAAACCCACCAAGCACCCCATTACACACATCCAAAGCATCCCAATGTCCCACTATTAGCCTCCGTCCGAATAAAGTCACTACGCCGGCCATTGAGCCGGCTAGCGTCGTCGTAACAGCAGTCCGGCCAACACCAGTCCAGTTGCCTTGATCAGTCGTGTCAGGATATGGAACCAGCACCTTATCAAACGAACCTGGATTGAATCCGAACCAGCCGAACCACAGTAAGAACGTCCCAAGCACCACCAGAGTGGCGTTGTGGCCACGCATTGGCACGGGTTTGCCGAAGGCGTCAAACCTCCCCACTCGAGGGCCTTCAATCAACGCACCCCACAACCCAGCAATTCCACCGACCAGGTGTACTACACCGCTCCCAGCAAAATCAATGGCGCCGGAGCCAAACAACAACCAGCCGGTCGAGCTCGCACTTAGCCAACCACTGGAAGACCAAACCCAGTGGGCGACAATTGGGTAAACAAAGCCGGTTAGGAAGAAGGAGTAAACAAGGTATGCTCCGAACTGGGTTCGCTCAGCAATGGATCCACTGGTGATTCCGGCGACTGCAATAGCGAAAGCCCATTGATAGAGAAAGAAACTGTAGTCGTAGGTGTTGTTGGGAATGTCTTTGAGTGCGAAATAGCGAGAACCTATGAAAGGGTTGGAATCGGGGCCTACACCGAAGGCAAAGGCGAAACCGAAGAGGTAGTAGGAGATGCTCCCCACCACAGCGTCGACCACATTGGTGAGCATTATGTTCATGGTGTTCTTAGCTCGTACTGAGCCCGCACAGAGCATGGCGAAGCCAAGCTGCATCACGAACACCAAGTAAGCTGAGAAGAGAAGGTAGATAGTGTTGATTGAATCTGCAACACTGGTTTCCCATGATGCCTCCATCACCATGGATGCCGGTACAGAGAGAGAGAGAAATTAGTTGAAGCAAACAAGGAAAAATGAACTTGGCAGGTTGCTAGCAAGGTTTCATTCATATCGTCACTTGACTGGTAGTTAGCGTTTCCATAGCCACCCGTTTTTGGTCGTTTTGTGGATAGTCATTCAAAATCTTTATAAAAATATCAAATGCATTATTGTACTGAGTCTACTAGAACTTGAAACCCTAAACTCGCTCGTTTCCACTCGGATGATTGGTCCTGACCGTGTTAAACTCTTCTGTTTGATGACTTTGGATCATGGCTTTTGGATGTTTCAGCTGGGTTGTGGGTTTCTTGGAGAACGGTTCCCCAATCCGAGTTGGAGTAAAATTTACTTTTCCATCTACTACATTATTGATTTTAGCCTTTAATAAATCCAATGACCTTGCTTCACAGCTGTGGTATTGGTACATCTTATTAAATGGGAATTGATGGGAACTGGGCTCTGGGTCCGGGCGCCAGAACCTCTAGTTAAAGTCTTGGGCCCTCAAAATTTAACACGTGATCGATAGGGTCCGTTTGGTTGGTATTTAGAATTAGTATTAGAATCACAGTGGGAGTGGTTTATTCCTATAATTTGTTGGTCAAGACAGAAATTGGAATCAAAATTAGAATTGGAATAAATTGGAATGGGATTTCATTTTTAAGAAAGAGGAAAGGAATAACCATTCCTTTAAACAGAAAATGTCATTTCAGCAAAAATAATAATAAAGTTCCACTTTCACTCAACCAAACAATTAGAATCAGAAAAATCAATTCCAGACCCTTATTCCTATGAACCAAATTTGATATCAAAGCCTATCATTTGATGGATCCAAATGAGAGAGGTCTTACACCAAACTGATTTTTAGAGTTAAAAATAGAACTTTTTGAGCTTACACACATTTTGGATGATACTCTGAACTGATTTTTTATCCAACTAAAATGAGCAAATTTTTTTTTTTTTTGGGCAAAAACGTTCATTAATAAGAAAACAGCCACAGAGTACAAAAAGATATCACAGATAAGGTCTAATTAAGTTTCGGTTGGCCAGATCTTGTATCCACCCAGGTGAATCTTGGGCAAACAATCCAGACTCGCATGTGAGCAACAACATTACAAGATCTATTTACATGATTAAAAGAAATTGCTAAGTCTTCATTCAGTAACTTAATGTCCAAGCATAGAAAGTTTGCATCTGAGACCAAGTCTAAGTTTCCTATCTTTAGAGCATGCACCAGAAGGATCGCCATTGCTTCATCAAGAATGGGAGACGAAGCTGTTGATTTGCCAAAAACTGCAGTTATAAGTGCACTAACATCATTCCTTAGAACTGCACCAAAACTTGAACTGTCAGGACACAAAAAACTCCCATCCACATTCATCGTGAGCTTCCCTATTTCTGGTGCTTTTCAAAAAGAAGATTTCCTTTCACTCAGGTTTGGATGTTGATGATGCACGATCCGGTCGGTCCTAGTTGTCGGTAACCTTGCCCTTGACGGAGCGGGAGATGCCTGAAACAGGGAGGAAACAAGAGATTCCCGGGGGAGGAACCCGATGGGTATGCTCTAACGCTCAAGTTAGCACTCTTTAGAAATCAAGGAATATGAGAAATTCTCTTAGACCAGAAGGCGCAAAAGTATCAGTTACCTTTATTCTAGGGGAATAGGGCCTTTTATAACCGCCCTGGTGCACTCACTCCCAAACCTCTGCCAGATCGGGTGTAACCGCCTCTGCAGGGGCAGACATAACCGCCACTATCCTCTCTGTCGAAGCCGTCTCTACAATGACTGAGATGGCGGTAGCAGCTAGCCGTTGGAGTGTGGTTGTCATGTGTCAGATCCCTAATCAGTCAAGCGCGTCGCCTCAGAATACGGACTTCTTTGGTGTCAGGTACGGTCGTTCAGTCATGTAACCAGGAGCCGAGGTGTCGGAGTGGTGCACGGGGTGAAGTCTTGAGTTCGGACAGGGGCGTGGCCCGGATTGACTCGAGGTGGGTCAGTCTGGGCTTTGCCTTTCGTGGTGTTCCTTGTAGGGCTTAGGATTTCTAAGGAAAGCTCGGGTTCTACCTTCTGGGAAGCATGGGTTCTCTTTGGGGAGCTCGGGGCCTCTCCTTGGGGAGCTCGGGCCTCTTCTTGGGCTATGGCTATGTCATTGTGCCGAGCTGACGCTCCTGCCAGGTCATACCCGGTTGCCTCCACCTGTCACGCGGCCAAGGGTCGGGTCAAATCTCCCTCCATCAATTGCCCCCACTCCCCGTGCCCGGGGTCCCGACCCGAGTGGATTTTCCTCGTGGCGCACTTCATCCAGCTCGGTGACCCTCCGGTCTGACCCGCTTATGCCTTTGGCTCGGTCAGGGTTAGCTCGGCTCGACCAAGGGTCAACCCGGGTTGCGTACAGCTCACGCGCGGACGTCAAACAATTATTAGATTTCGGATGTCAAAAATTCGCGCTAAACTGATTTCACCTCGGGGGTCGTGCAGCCGGTTTTCCTGAGAGTCGTTGGATGGCTTTGATCTTGGTCGTTGATGCGCGGGTACAGCGGCTATAAATAGTCGGGGTCCTGGTCACTTTTCCCTCGCCATAGTCTTCAGCATTTGTTCTTTGAGCTCGCGTCCAAGGTCTTCAGCTTGCGTCACTTTTCCTAGTCCGGTAGATTTTCCTTGGTGAGTCCCCTTAGCTTTTCTTTTAATTCCTTTCGTTTCAATGTCTAGTTTGGGTAGCTTAGATAGACTTCTAGGAGAGCCTAAGGTGTGGACCTCAGCTCGGGCTGCTTCTTTCGACAGCCTTCTGGATGAGCCGAAGGTAGGGACTTTAGTTCGGGTTACCTTTGGTAGCCTGGCATCCACTTCTCGTCGAGTTCGGATGTCAGATAAGTTCGGACCTTCTACAATGACGTCTGAGAGACTTCGGTCTCTGGTTCGTTAGTTCAACCTGCCCGAGAAGTACACCTATAGTTTACCTACGGACGACTTCCCTTGGGAGCACGGTCCAGATGAGATCGTGATTTTCCGGGAGCAGCTCGTCGTCGGACTGCGCCTTCCTCTTCATTCCCTTATCGTCGAGGTCTTGAATCACTTCGGCGTCACCGTTGGTCAACTCCACCCAAACTCCATCCGCAACGTCGTTGGGACCATCTCCCTGTGTTGTGAATATGTCCTCCCACTAGACTTAGAAATTTTCTCCGCCCTCCTCACGATTAAGAAGCATGCGAGCTTCCTCCCCAAGCACAGGCAGGCCTATTACTTGTCTCCTCGCCCAGGATTTAAACTTCTACACGAGCTTCCAAATAAGGTCCCAGCGTGGAAGCGGGACTACTTTGTGGTCCGAAGTGCTACGAGGTGGCCATTCCCCACCCACTGGAGGGCGACTATTCACGACCCCGATGCCATGTTAGACAAGGACATGGCGGAGATCTTCCAGTCTTGGGTCCAGCCTGGGTTCGAGTGCAAAGATTACCTTACGGAGGCTAAGCTTATCCAGGCCGGTCTGAGTTCGGGTAGGTTTCTTACTCAGATGATTTTTTTTATTGATATCGAGCTATTTTCGCATGTGTCATGGAGCAGGAGAAGACCCGTGGCGACAACTTGCTCGACGGGATGAAAGAGGAGAAAGCAGGTCACTAAGCGGGCTCGCATCGAGTCTCCTCGGGCGGTGGAGCCCGAAGTCCCAAGCCATCCTCCAGTCATCGACCTGGAGTCTCCCAAGGAGCTCGAGGTGGTCGGACCTGCTCCGGAGGTTGCGGTGGAACCCGATGTTGCAGAGGCTCAGAACGTCGATACTACAGAAGCTTCCCACACTCAGACGGTATTCTCCAGCTCGGCGAGCCAGGAGAGGGTCGGTAGTGTGCTGACACCGAGCTGTGCTCTCCGTAAGAGCAAAAAGGTCGTCTATCCTGCGGAGGTTTTGGAATGGGCTGACCTTCTTCCAGGTCACATCGGCGCACGCGCTGCGTCTCATGCCATGGTGGTAAGTCGAAGTGGTTTCCCTTTGTGTTTTTCCTGTGCTTTTTTATTCTCTTCTTGTCGTACTGACTTGTTCTTGCTTGGCAGGTAAACTCCTCCATCCACGCCCTAACTATTCAATCGGAGAGGAACCTGAAGCGGCCTCAAGCTGCTGAATAGGATTCCCGTGCAGCGCAAACCGAGCAGAGGATAGCTCGGGAGCGGATCTATCGTCTCGAGGGTGGCACTTCGGCTCAGAAGAATGCCATCGAGACCTTGACGTCGAAGAAGGTCGCAATGGACCGTGAGTTGGAGAGGCTTCGGAGTGAGAACGGGGCCTTGAGGCTTGTTGTAAAGCACCTCGCGAACTCAAAAGGGGTCTTGGAGCATGAGGTGGAATACCTTAAGGCCGATATCAAGGAAAAGTCCGAGATCTTCTTCCAAGCCATCGAGGATACTAAATTGAAGGATGTCAAAGACTATATCGCATCGGAGCGCTTTGACGACCTGATGGTGGGCTCGTATCGGAGGGATTTCAAGTTGAGCAGGTGGATGATAAGGCATAAGTACCCCGGACTCGACACTTGTGCCATAACCACCTCGCGCACTACTCCAGAGATGGCTCTCGCGGCTGGCGACGATCCAGACTCCGAAGATGAAGCAGACACCCCGAGTGCCGCCGAAGTTCCTTCTAATGTCTTGGGCGAGGGAGGTGTGCCTCCGAAGTGATATGTGTCGAGCCTGCGAGCTCGTTTTTTCTGTCTTTGCATTAAATCGATTGTAAATGAAACATTGGTAATGAAATACCCTTTTTGGCTAAGTGTTGTGCACTGCCATTCTTTCTTTTTGCCGAAGTGACTATAGTGCTGAACTGTTAGAACTAGGTCCCCAAAGCAAAGGGGTTTCTCGAGGCAAGTTAACATAGTAAGCTATACGCCCGATCTGTTCTCCGCCTGGGTCAAAGTTGATATTGGTTCTTTAACAGGCCTGACTCGGAGCGGGTTATGCACCTCGGGCTTCGTACCCGTGCTGCCTGCTCTTTCGGCACCAACACTTGGTCTACGTCAGTGAGGTGTCGAGGTTATCATTAGCTCGGCGCTTTATCCCTTTGGCTAGAATACCTTCCGAGGATTTGCCCATGCCGAAGAGGCGACTA